GAGGGTGGGAGGGGAGAGTGGCAAAGGGCCCTGAGAACCTCCAGGACTGATGGCTATGTCCTTTTTCTTGATTATGGTGATGGTTTTATGGGTGTGTGTGTGTGTGTGTGTGTGTGTGTGTATATATATATATATATATCAATGCTTAAAAAATTGTATACTTCAAATATGTGCAGTTTATTATATGTCAGTTATATTTTAAAAGATACGTTTTTTTAAACTGCAATGAAATACTGCTACACTGCCACCAGAATAGCTAAAATTTGGAAGACCGGCAGTACCAAATACTGACAGTGATGTGAAGTGACAGGAATTCTCCTACATCATAAGAGGGAGTTGGAAATCGTGCAACTACTTTGAAAAGAGTTAACGAAAATTTCTTATAAACTAAATATATACCTAGCCTGTGACCCATCAGTGCCACTAAGTATTTACCCAAATGAAATGAAAATTATGTGCCAAAAAAGACTTCTATGAGAACGTGCATAGCAGCTTTAGTCATAGCAGCCAAAGACTGGAAACAGCCAGGCACCCATCAATAGGATTATGAATAATTAAGCTCTAGTATGTTCTCGTAATGCAGTGTTTCTTGGCAGTGAAAGAGAACACACTACTGATAGACAGAACCACATGCTAGAATCTTAAAAACATTAAGCTGGGTAGGAGAACCCTTACATAAAAATTATACTGTATGAATCCATTTATATGAAATTCTAGAGCAGACCAGACTAATCCATGGTAGAAAAAAAATCAAAACATTGTTTGCCTCCATGGAGAGGGCCATAAGGGAAGAGGAGTATGAGGGAACATTCTGGGGTGATGAAAATGTTTTCTAACTTAATAGGAGTTTTTTCCTCTCCAGTGTGTGCATTTGGCGAAACAGTAAAAGTACACACAAAATCTGTGCACTTCGTCGAATGTAAATTTTATAGCAAAGAAACTGAGTGAACGTTGAACTCTAGTTAGAGAGATGAATGCTGTATTTGGGGACAGCTTCTTGATGTCTGCAGTTTACTTGCAAATGCAAAAACGTAAGATCCACAGATGGATAGACGGATGGATAAATATGTGATAGAGAAAACATAAGGAAAGTGTTAATGATTGAGTGGTGGCTATGCTGGTATTCACTGTAAAAGCCTTCCAACTTTAGTGACTATTTGAACATTTTCATAATTTTCTTTTGTCACAAATTCAGACTTACCAGAATAGTGTTCCTTTATACCAGACTTATAAAAATGTGTAGCCACTGTTTGCTAAGATATGGCTTTAGTCCCTCCTCCTCCACACAGAAAATCTATAAATAGCTATCCATCCTGTGACTTTGATGGAAACACATTACCAGAAATTTCAGAGTTAGAGCCACTAGCCTTGGCTGTCACACGTTGGAACTGTTTCAGATAGGAGTCAGTGGCAGGCTGGGCAGAGGCTGAAGACCAGATGAATAAAGTGAAAACTGTTATATTACCTCTTCATAACATTTTGGGATGGGGAAAATTACGATTGAGAGAATAAAACCCATGTGTAATGAAATCCACCATTATTTTATACTAAGTCAAGAACTCTAAATGGGGTGTTTGTAATTATAAAATAATGAGATGAAATCAAGGGCTAATAAAACAATCGAATCACATTGTTCTGATTTTGATACTCTTCAGATCTTTTCCAGGCCACTCCACCCAAAGTGGTAATAAATTGACTGCTCATATAAATCACTACTCTTTTTCTCCTTAGAAGTTTACTAATACAAGGCAAAGTAACAGAATTTAAACCCACCATTGATTCTGGCTCCAACTGATTAGTGCATACGTGTGTAAACAGTCTTCTAGTTTATATTGTTTTGTGATTCTGTGTTCTTGGCTTTGCGTTTGTGAATAATTGGGTGAAAGAATTTATGGCATTCACAAAATATCAAAGCAGTCCTTTTTCAAGTTTTACATTTTTTTCAGTTTGTTAAAATAGTAGACAATAAGTAATACAAATTTACCTATGTAAATGTATATGACTTATAAATAATTGAAAATTAAAAGTTAAGCTATATAAAAGTTAAAATTTTTAAAAGTGAAGACAGTGTTCTTGAGTTTTCTGCTCAGGTTGCTGAGCAGAAGTTAACTGAGTTTTTACTTCTATCTACTTTGAGTAATTTTCTCTTGCAATACATGGAGGATGTGAAGAAGGTAATGGCAGAAAGTGCGACAGAGAAATGTGTTTCTTTCACAGATCGCTGCCTCAACTTCCCCAATCCAACCGTCTCTTTGAGTTTACCGCCGCCGCCCCCATGTTGGTCTGGTGTGGCATATGCAGGAGTGCTTTCGTAGAACTGTACAATTAAGAGGGACCTTAAAGATCATTTAAGTCTAATTTGCTGATTTTATAGATGAAGAAACTGAGGCACCGATTGAAGGGCAATATATTTTTATTGTAGAATGAAGAAACATTAAACCAGCCCTAAACAGTATTAAAGTAATAAGCTCAGAAAACTCTTATTACTCCATTTGTTAATTCTTCCAAAACATATTGAGTTCCTTACTTTTTTGGTTGGGCATTAATTGGATGCTATGAATATGGTATTGAATAAGACATTCCCCACATTAGGGAGTTTATAGTCTATTTAGAGAATCAGATAATATAATACTATTGCTAGCTTTGCAGTAACATGAGTAAACAAAGTGTTGTTGGAACATTTAGAAGGAGGCTCCTTTTCCGCTTTGGGTGGAGGGTGGTAGAAGAAAGCCTCCTCATTGGGGTGAATTTTGATCTGAGCTCTGAAGAACACTTAGCCAGGCAAAGAATTGAGGGAAAGGGTGTCAGGACTATAAAAGCAGCATGTAAAAGGGTTTTGAGGCAAGAGAACAAAGGCACAAAAGTCTTCTGCATAGGCCCTTATAGCTCTGTATGTTTCTCCCTTTTTCCAAGTGGCTGGGGCTCCTTGCATACATAGGTAGTCACGTGTCTCTGTGGGCCATTCATTACAGTCAGTACATTTTGCCTTAGCTAGTTGTTAGTCTCATGCTTATAATCTGGCTCCTCTACTAGGCTCTAAGCTCCCTTTAGAGGAGCGGCTCTATCATTGTTTTCCTGTTTGATGTACAACTCAATGCTTAGGACACAGATGACCAGCAGATGTGTATGCCTTGCATAAATGTTTACTGTCTTAACACAGCCTTCTGGTTCTTCTCTGTCCAGACTCTACAATCTTCTAATTTTCTTAAGCTCCTTCTGGAATCTGTAACATGTCTGTGACCTCTCCATAGCTCTTAACTGGTTTATTAGCTACCTCTGTGGCCAGTCTGAGAGCTTTTTCTAATCTGCAAGTTTCACTAACCTAGTTTGCAGAAGTTTACATTCGTGAGGTATATAACAGCATGTACTTTAAAGGAACTGATGTCAAAAACTGATTGGGGGTATATAATTGAGTGACTATTCAATTTGATTTAAATTAACTCGCCTAGTTCTAGCAAGGCCAAATGCCTCCCCTCCCCTCCAACACCCCCCTTTAAATAAACTTGGTAATACTGGGGCAGGGGGAGAGGGTAGCGGAGAGGCTAATGTTAATACTTGAGGCCTTATGCCAGTCATTGGTAGTGTAGCCAAAATAAAATAGTGACTCAAGCTATAAAAATCATTGTAAAGTAAGTCCTATCTTTATTTATTCTTTCTTTATCAAATATTTTGAGAATGCTGGTTCTGTCTGTGTCTCACAAAACATTAGGCTGTTATTCTATGATTGTCTGCCAAGTACTAGGGAAATTATAGAAATGGACGTAAGAAACTGAAATCCTAGGAAGCAGGAATAAGTGCTCTAAATGCAGTGTAAATTTCTGGTATTAAGAACTCACTAGAAGGGGTAATCTGGAGCTGGAAGGGAGAAATAATGATTGAAAATGAGTCTCTATCAAGTTCTGCAAATCTGGACAGGATCCTGATAAGTCAGTGCAGTGTTGTCTCTCTTTTTTCATGCCTTTTCTTGTAAGAAAGCGTGAAGGAGAAGGAGGTATGTCATATTAGGGGCCTAGAATATGTGAAAGGTTTGGACAGCCAGTGGAAAATGTGGTAAGACATTAACAAAATGACTGGCATCGGTGGCAGATATCCAAAGTGTCCTGTATTTGTAACGTGCCCAGTTGTACATTTGTAGCGCACTGTCCCAGGGCACACGTTCGCATGCACATTTCCTTCTGTAAATAAAATGGGGATAGCGACAATATTGCACCTACTGCGCAGAGCCGTTGTGTAAGCCATTGATAAACGTGACTGATTAGATCAGCAATTGAGAGCGATGAACAATAATTTGTGAGTTCCAGCTGTTGCCTAGTTTATGTCACTATTGTTTGCTGTTAATAATTTTTCTTTTTTGCAACAAATTTTGCAGACTGGCTCTTACAGAGGGTTTGCATGTTGTAAACTGAAATGAGTAAAGGTGGCTTCATGTTCACAGAAGATTCACTTTGACTAAGAAAGACTGCATGCCAAATGTCAAATGAAAAATAAATGTATCACATTTCGGCACAAATCTTCTTCGCAGTCTCATTTGGAAAAACGATGAGTTTCTGAGAGTTGGAAATGTTAACCATTTTCAGAGTACCACTGAATCCATTATTCTACCAAATAATGTGGGGTCTTTTTGCCCACAACCCACAGTAAGAAGCATATATTATGTGACAACACACTACACATGGAAGCATACAGACACCTCACAGAAGCGAAAGCTTCATGAAACACTTGGCTCGCCCCTTATCACCTTCCCTAGTAATTGTTGCTCTAGCGTGTTTCCTTTTCATTGTGGTTGTTTTTAATTCTGTCCATAATCCACTAAACTAATTGCATAATTCACTGATGAGCTACCACCTGCACTTTGACAAATACGGCTCATTATAAGCTTTTTCTGACATCAGTTTCAACTTTGAAATAATAGTTTCTCTCTAGTATAAATTTTCAGAATCACGTTGTGCATTTCTAACACTGGCCCCTGGCTTAAATTGTGTTTCTCTTCTATTGATTAGGTATCAACATGGTTTTTTACCACCTTTTCTGTCTCAGGACTGAAGGACAAAATCCACCATGTGGACAGCCTCCACCAGCTATTTTCTGCCATATCACCAGAACAGATTGATTTTCCACCTTTTGTCCTTGAATATGATGCCAGGGTAAGAAGTTCCAGGAGTTCTCCCTCACCCGGTGTAGTATCTTAACTGCTCTATGGGGCCCTGCTTAGGCGCACAGCATCCTTTTATTATAAGATGGTATTAATGCAATTCATGTGTTTTAGTAAACTTGACAGTATCATTCAACATTCTCTTCCTGCAGTAACTAGGAAAACGCTTTGTCCTAAGAGAGCTTTTTCCTCAGTTAACTTTTCAGTGGGAGATTTTTCTGCTGGTTTGAAGCCAACCCTTGCTTATATGGTCAGTTTTCTGCCACCTCTGCCAAATTTCCTTAAGATTGAATCGCTTTTTATCTACATAAGTAAGGTCAGAAGAATCTCTTGGTGTCTGACATTTTCAGCATTAATTCAAACAAGGTAGCCTATCTTAGTAGCCTTTACCCTGCTGCAAGTTTCATTTTGCTGAAAGTTTATCTAATGTATTTAAGAACAAGCAACACTAGTATTATTATTACTTCTAGATGAATTTGTGAATATATCAAACACTAGTAAAGGGCTACTCTTGAGTTTCATTAAAGCTCTATCCATCACATTGTGTTTATTCTCACTACCGCTTTAGTAGTTAAAAACAAAACAAAAATAAAAAAAAAAAAAAACAAAACAAAAGTAAGTAACATGCTTGGCCAAAAGATCATCAGTCTCCTTATTTAACTGTTGCTGATTACGTAACATTATGCATGAATCAGGGAATATATTTGAAGGTTATATTAAGCTTCAAATGGATTGTTCTTCCCCAATTATTGTACAGCATGTATACACCAAAATAAATATTCTACAAGACATTTTCTCTCCACCATTTCTTTAACTTCAGCTATAATTCCTGTGTTCCTTTATGTGAAGAGCAAAGTATTTAATGTGTTCTAATGACTAATAAAATTTCGTATTTGGCTTTTGTGCAGAGAGGATTTGTAATTGGAGTAGCTGGATCATAGAAAGATTGTTGAATATGTGGAAGGGGGGGGAAGAATACCAATTTGTGTTCATGCAGATTGCTGGAGTAGAAAATAACCTTATTATTATTCTTTTGAACTATATATCATTCTTCCTAGTATTTAAAAAAAATGGATAGCGGGAAATAAAAGGAAAGATACTAAAAGACATTTTGAGATCAAAAATTTGGAATGACAGTTCAAAGCTAGTGTCTGGATTTATAATATATTTTCTGGGGTAGAACATACAAGTTGGATTGCATTGGTTAGAAAACCCAAATGACTGTCTTTTAAGCCAACACATTTTCTATAATCTTAGGGGCCCATAAAACAGACTTTCGTTAAATATCAACACCACACTCTAGCTTGGTTTTGTCTGTCTGTTTTGTTTGTGTGCTTGTTTTAGGTTTTTCTTCTATTTTGTATATCAAATGCAGGCCTAATTAATGATGTGATTAATTACATTTTAATAAAACAACCTATAATGTAACACTTGGGTCATTGGATCATCTCTCTGTGCCTGTACTAGAGCTTTCTAAAATTGAGATATCAGGCCATCTATATATAAAGGCCAAAGAGAAGGACAAAAAAAGAGGAGAAACTAAAGAAGGTGTCAGGAGACAATGTGGAAAGGGCTGGCAGAGGGCAGGTCACTAGGTACTGGAGCTTTACATGTTACTTGCAGCACTTTGGCTCTGTGGTCAGCGGGGAGTGTTCTACAAGGGAGAACTGCCATTATATTTCTATTTAGAACCATGGCAAAAGCAACAGTGCAGAACGTGACTGGAGAAGGATAACACTAGAGGCAGGGAGACAAGGAAGAGGCGAGTAGAGGATCGGAGGAGAAAGGAGACTAGAGCTGGGGCAGCAGCAGTGCTCATGGCAAGGGCTTGAAGATCTTAGATTTAGAAGTAGACATTTTAGGAAATAAAACCCACAGCATTTGGTGACGGAGGAAGCCATTCAGGAAGATGAAAGGGCAAAGATGCCTAAAGTGACTACCAGAGCTTCCGCCGTGGGAGACTGGGTAGATGGCGTGGCCGCCACCCCAGAGGGGCATTTTGGAGGAAGAGCATGGGGGGCGGGGGCAGTGTTGGAGTGGGAGAGGAGAGACAGGCGGTGTGTTTGTTCAGTTTGTGACACTGCGTTTGAGGTGGCCCGTGGAACACTGAGGTGGAGATCCAATAGGTGGTTGGTTATTGCCTTGTAAGGAAACATTTTCTCTTGCTAGGAAGAATTGAAAGTATGATTAGAGAAAAGGAAATAAGTATGGAGTTGGTTAATTTACTGGCATGTTCAGTCATGCCTTGCACATAGTAGGTGTGATGTGGCGTTTGTTGTTGGCAGGTCTCAGCGGGCTTCTATTTTCTGGGTCTTGTGTGACTTAGAATAGTGACGTAAGTTTTATGGGAATGAAAGGAACCTTTGAAGGTAGTTAGAAGGTAATTTTTATCTATCTGTATCAAAATGGTACGGAGACGATTTCAGAAAAGGAGCTAGCCAGTCAGCACTCTTATAAATGTAGTCGAAGAAGAGTATACAAGTTTACCTGGCGACAATTCTTCAAAGTTCTTTGACTGTTTCCAGAAATAGAGAAAATAGATTGCACGGCAGTCTCTTGCAGTGTGAGACTAATGTAAAAAGCTCTATTTCATAGCATTAAGAATTAGATTTGCCCTTCCTACTTTATCACAATTTAATGCGGATGTAAGAAACCTAAAACAATATGGTAGTCGAATGGAACGGAGAAATCTTAAAGACAGATAGTGAACCATTTCTTTTCAGATGAACTTCAAAGTTGATTTATTTGTTGAGGCATGTTTCGTAAGCATAGCTTCCATGCGTGTTGAGGATATAGGATTGGTTAGTATGAAAGATCTTGATGGGCAATTCTGAAATACAAAACAAAAACAAAAAGGCTTTCCTTAACTTTTTTTCAAATAACATGAAATAACATGAAAGGCAGCCAATCCTAGGATTTGTTTCTACCTAATTTTTAGAAATGTTTTTAATATCTGGTCAGATTTGTAATCAGAAAGTAAGTTTTCCTAGATATTCTCTTGTTTTCCGGGCTAAGGTCCCAAGATCAATTCTTGCCCTAGAGCATCTGCTCTGAAGAATATTAGAGCTTTTGATTCCCTTAGATAACATTTAGCCACCTACTGGGTTCAAACCAGATACATTTAATGCTCTGTCATAACCAATAATGTAAATGTACCGTAAAGCAATGTTATTTTCATCTGTCCGCCATTCTGCTTTCCTAATTATTATCTACATTGGTGCTAAACAATTCTGTTTATGATTTACTGACAAACAAGTTTTTTGTCAAATACTTTCCTTAGATATGAGAAATGAATCCTAAGTCCAATAAGTATAATCAGAGGTCCATCTACCATAAAGTGAACTGTCTTCATTTTTTTATTAAGATAAAGTTAGCCAAAATGAAGTCAGGAAATTTGCCCTTACTCTTCTTTTCCATCATTCTACATTAATTTAAGATGCAGCACACAGTAAGACAATACAGTCTAAAAAAGTAAATCTGGGTGTTAGATTTGAATAGACGAGGATTTAAATTCAGACTCTTCTGGTTACTGCTGGCTGGCCTTGGGTGAGTTCTGCAAGCTGTGTGATCCTTGGTGTCTTCTTCTGTAAAAAGAGGATGTTATCTACTTCATGGCATTATGTGAGAATATGAAGGGATAATGAAAGGAAAGTGCCGATAAAGTGTCTGGTATATAGAGTTAAATATTAAGTAATGAGGTTATTTAAAACTATTACCATCCTGATTACCTCTGCCTACTCTACACCAGCTCTGGCTGACTCCAGCGGACCTGGTTTGATGGCTGAGGGCCTTGCTCAGGGCCACGCATGTGCTAGACGTTTTACAGAGGCCATATCGCCGACTGTAAATCCCGTTCTTTCACATTCCCATTTGAATTGGTTTTATTACTTAATGTTCTTGTCTTTTTTTTTCTTCCACAGGAAAATGGGCCTTACTATACATCTTATCCCCCATCACCAGATTTGTGACCTGCCATCCTTTAGCGCTACTGGTTTCCAGGGACGTCACTTTCTCCACGAATTGCTACCTATTGAAGTGATATTCATTTTTGCTCTTCAGATCCAGAGAGCCTTTTGTCCCCACCTCTCTGGTATTTTTTTATTGACTGTATATTTTCTGGCACATAAGCAATCTGAAAATGGTAGGCCATTCCGAACTGCACACTTATTTTAAATTTGTATATTTGTATCAAATGAAAATGTTCATTTTTAGAGGGTTGTTAATAGAAATTGGGGAGCAACTTTTGAGTATCTTCAGTTTCCTGAGAGGACACTAGATTCTCCATTAGACCAGCCACCAGTGTTGTCCATGCCATCTCTCTAACATTGCACGCTTCCTTTGTGTACTTCACTGTTTCTCAAAATATATAGAACCAGTGTGTGCTGACCATAGATGCATTGTTTGCTTCAGATCCTGGCACTACATTTTATGCAGATAATTTGGTTATGATAAAAGAGAATTGTCTGGGATCAAGGATGTGGAAATGTATCTGATCAAAATACCAAAATCATTAGCAAAATATAGGTCTTAGAATCTTACTGCACTAGTTAAGACGAAGATTTAAGGACTGAAGTTCCTTGGATTTATGATTTGTTAAGATTGCCACTGTTCTGGTCTCAGTAGTGGAGGACAATAAGACCATATCTTCCGCCTTTTTCCTATAATCATGGGTGATTTGGTTGCCTTATTTTAGAGGACTTCACTTATTAGTACTCTTAAGTGAAAGGTATCTCTTAGACTCGATCAGTGACCCTTTCGAGAGCGTGGTCTTCCCAGAGGTGTGATTTTGTTTGGCTCTTAAAGCTACTCCCTCTAAGGACATTTCCTCGCAGTGTCTCTTGAGTTGCCTACATCAATATGGAGGAAGTTTGTTGAAGCAAATGAAATTCCAGATCGCATTTGCCACTCAGACTCTATTTGTGCCTTAGCTTGTTTATGAATAAGAACCAGAATTACGATACCTACCTCACAGAGGTATCCTAAGAGCATTTAGAAAGGGCTTTTTATGCCTTTGGGTGCAAAATGCTAGCGGAGCTTATCTAGGGTGTCGTTTCGGTCAGTCTTTAAATGATAATAAATAGACTTGAGGGTACTACCAGGCACTCCTCTTGTCCTTGGCACCTTCTGAGTCATTTTTCTTTTCGTGGGACAAGAGCTGCTAGTGAAAAATCCCAACCGTGAGGACCTCCTTCCTACTTTGTCCAGAATTTCTTCTGGCCTGCTCCTCCCCCAATGCCACACTTTAACAAGAGGCATCTGTTAGCCATTTTAAACATTTCTTCTTGAGTTAAGGTCAAACCACTGTCATTTCCGTCTGGTTGTCTTCATATTCCTTTTGATTCCTATGCCACGCCCCTCCCTCAGTCCATCCTGTACATTGGGGGTTCAGGGAAGAAAAAGTAGAACCCTTCTGTTCCAGTGTGTTCAGGATCAGTGCTTCCAAAGGTCCCATACATCTGTGCCCAAGTTAATCGTTCAGTGGCGATAAAGGAAACCTCCTCCTTTTATGACAGAGAAATTCCCCTATAGTTGTATTAGCTCCATTCAAGCAACAGGGGGCTTTACATTTCTTCGATAAACCCTCTTCTCTTTTGTATGTACTGGACACATTTGCTTTGCATCAGATATCAAAGCCACTTAGCTCCTTATATGTGCTTATTTGGTAAGAGTTTCCTGTTATGTTCCCTAGGTCATCAGATCCAGACAGCCAGTCAGTTGGCTGGTATTAGGCTTCCTCCTTCCTCTCTGATAGCACTGCTTTAAATCCCTTAAGCTTTGAGCTTTAAAAATCTGAAAAATTATCTTCATCTTCTCCAGGCTATTATTAGATCAGAGTTGGGGTCACTGGGAGCGGTCATTAAAAATATACCACCTTTTCTTTTTTGAAAGTGGACTGGGCTACCTCCAGTTGGCATCTGGCCTGAATCATTTCCTCTGTAGATAATAGAGGCTGCAAACTACTTTGCCGTTCAAAAGGAACTAAAATCATTGGAAAGAATAATTTGGAAAGAATGTCCCTCTGCTATATTCATACGAGTATATTAATGTCTAGTAACACAAGCAAGATTTCTACATATAGTGAAATTCTGGTTCAATTGATATCCTAGGGTATAAAGGTATGAAAGTAGATACATATCAGCCCCATTTCACAATTTAATGGTGTCCAAAGATAAGGGCTGTACTTTTCAGTGAAACTAAATTTGGTATGGGACCAAGCTCATGCTTTTATAGCTGCCTAGAGTGTTATATAATGAAGTTGTTTCAGCGCATTAAGTCCTACGAGGGGAACATAGTGACCTTATGGTGAAATGATCATGTAAAGTTCAGTATGTATCTGCCTTTGTCAACAGGTTGCGTTGTCTGGATAACGTGCCATTTTCCAGGGACACATTAGAGGATAAAAGGGTGACTGGGTGGAGATGAGATGAGCACTAGCATCTGATGTTAATTCAAAGCCCCACCAAGTCTTTGATTTGATCCAACTTCGGTCATGCCAGATGCTAGACGAATTGAGGAAGAAACAACTTCTAAGATTTTAATTTAATTCATTAATTCATCCAAGGCATAATAGGATTTTTTAAACAAGCACATTTCTTCAGCGTATATTTGGGTTCTTCTTAACTCCTCTATATCCAAGTTTCTTGCTAGCGAAAATAACGTCTGGAAAAAAACTATCTTTATTAGACTCCTAAAGCTTAGAGATCAAGTGGTTTCAAGATTTTCTTTTCTTTAATATACATCTTATTTCACTGGCTGGTGCTCTGTTATATTTATTTTTTCAAAGGAATCCAAGTAGTTTGAGACCAAACAACAGGATTTTTAATTTTGATAGGAAAAATGGATACAGGTTTTTGATCACATATCTGAAATCTGAAAGGATTAAAATATCTTGCATTTTTATAGAGGGATGAGAGTAACCACTCCAGTAGAAGAACAGGGCCTGACTATTTCTCCCTGTTCTCCATTTGCTTAGATATTGTTTAATGAATTCATACTGTAGGTAATGGTTTCTTTTCTTTGCAATAGTTAATAAGAAAATGATAAAATGTGGTTTCGGTATAAGCTACAAATCGCTCTTTGTGTTTCCCCTGATTGTGTATGTATATATAGAGAGAGTTTATGTTGATTAATATATGAATAGAAATGATTAGAATTTGAAGTACTAGAAGGAGGACTGTATTTTAAGACCAGTGGATTGATTGTATTAATGACCCAGAGGACTATAAGGTACTATAAGGTAAGGACTATAAGGTAAGGTATAAGGTCAGATGGTAGTTCTCTTAAGTTATAGTCATCATAGTCCACATGCACTAGAATTTTTTACCTACACTGGCACTGATATACCTCATGGTACATGATTGACTCTGATTCAGGATTGCCTGAAACCATGAAAGATTAAAGGAGGACTCTACCTGTGATCTAGGTCATATCAGAAACCCAGAGATTATAAGGATTGTCCAGTAGGCCAAACCCTGTATATATATACATATACATATACATATACATATACATATACATATACACATCCTATATACGTCTACCTTCATACATATGTATGTGAATATATATGTGTGTACACACACACACATACACACACACCCAGTAATCCACTTTGCATCACATTCTTTGAATGTGGTTTCTATGGCCCATATGTAGATAACACAGAGCAATAAATAACATAGTTCAAGCTTTGATTCTATCAGAATAGCCCTTAAGCAGATGATATCAAGGTCACTTTATGTGTTAGTGGCTCTTTTGGATATTAGTTAATTTTGTTTTCCTTGCTTCCAGGAATAGTATCTAATCTTTTTACATGAAACAAGCATGAAATGTATAGGGTCACTGAGTTCAAGAAGAAAAACAGATATTCTGTAGGTGAATTACACTAACAAAATCGTAACTGCTGAATGATCTAATATTTTTGTTGAACGGTTAAAATTAATACATTTTGTATATACAATCATACTTTTCCTTTGCGGTGTGTTTTGTTAGTGTAAGCGCACAGTCATCATAAACTGAGCCAGCACTTTGTTAGACCAATTCTTGTGGGCCAAAATATTTAAATAAGAGTTTAACATATGTAAATGATTTTAATTGCTGTTGGGCACAGAAGACCCAAAAATGTTTTCTTGACATGATCTTAAAATGTGTTTATTCAGAATTCAGAATGCTTTTATGAATATTTTATTTTACTTTTTATTTTTTTTTTAATGTTATTTTTGAGAGAGAGAGAGATACAAAGCGTGAGCAGGGGGAGGGGCAGAGAGAGAGAGGGAGACACAGAATCCAAAGCAGGCTCCAGGCTCTGAACTGTCAGCACAGAGCCAGATGCAGGGCTCGAACTCAAAGACTGCGAGATCATGACCTGAGCCAAAGTCAGAGTTTTAAGCAACTGAGCCACCCAGGTGCCCCTGAATATTTTACATTTAAAAATATATTTTGGTCTTTCTGAAGTTGAAGTTTGATCCCATCACTCTGTAAATATAGCCTATGAAGAGCCAGTAGTAAAATGGTAGTGTTTATATTGAACCATAGGGTGGGATAGTTTGTTTTGGTCATTTACACCTGGATTTTCTGTAATCACCAAAGTTAACCTATGGAGTTAAATGCAGTGAATTTTACTGTCAACCTTCTCTATGGGGACTTGGACTAGTGTTTCTCAAACTTTAATGCGCGTACAATAAATCATCTGGCAATATGTCAAAATGCAGATTCTGATCCAGTAGCTCTGGTGTGGGGCCTGGGATTCTCAGTTTCTAACAAGCTCAGGTGATTATCAATACTCCTGGTCCCAAGACCACAAGGAAAAGAGCCAAGACTATATTCAGCTTCCATATTTTCCCTGTTTCGAGGAAAGGAGACATAACTATCGTAATCCTTTCTGTGGGCCAGGCACTCCGATTCATTATCTCATTTAATCCTACAAATCCTGTGAGGTCGATGATGATAGAGAGGTTAAATGACCTGCTGAAGCCCACGCACACAAGCAGTGCATGACAGAGGTGTGTTTCTCAAACTTGAATAATGCACATCCCCTTTTAGTAAGGAGAGGTTGTCTTAGTTCCTCAGTGTTTACTCCATTATTTATTATGTTATCTCAGTATATATAAAGCTATGTATAATGCTTTACGCTTATAGTTCTTGCACAATTATAAAACCAGA